GTTGCTAGATTTTGTTTCATTGCTTTGAACTTTGTTTAGATTCAATTAGGTTTTTTAAAACCCTTTTCAGGATCTGCGTGCTTTTAGATTGTCAGAATTTAGTGTACAATCCCGACTCACCATGCGAATGTGTTATGTTAAAAATGATGGTGCTCCGTATCGAGGCATGTTAGCCTAGTGGTTGATCGTGCTCAATATTCTGGAGTATGGTTAGGTTCAAAAACTATCTTAGTAAAACAACTCATGATCTGCGTGTTTTCTGTCCGTTATCGCTGTTTTGGTTTTATTTTGGAGAAGATAACCCCCGATTGGTTATTTGTTACAAGTCTCTGGAATCGAGCTTTAGCTGATGAGTGTGTGACTGTAAGTGTTTCCTGTTGTAACTTTAATTGGATGATTATAGAGCATGATTTTTGTACTTGGTCTTTGTATTTGACAGACAGTCATGAGAGGGAGGAGTTATACTCCGTCGCCCCCTAGGGGTTACGGCAGGAGAGGACGAAGTCGTAGCCCGAGGGGCCGTTATGGTGGTGGCCGTGGTAGAGATCTGCCCACTAGTCTTTTGGTTCGTAACCTTCGCCATGATTGCAGGTTAGTTCATGTAAATTCTGCTATACCTTGGTGATCCATAAAATACACTCTTTACAAAGTGGTTGTTACTTGAGGAGCTTGCATATAAGTTGTAATACCTGCTGAGTTATTTGAATATAGCAGGGCTGGTAGGATATTATGTTTTATCTTCTTCATATACAGTCCCTTTTTGTTTCAGGGTCTAATCATATTCCTTGTAAATATGGATCTCATCGCATTTTTAACTTGTGGTTTTTCAGGCCGGAAGACCTTCGGAGGCCATTTGAGCAGTTTGGTGCCCTGAAGGACATCTACTTGCCTAGGGATTATTATACTGGGTGAGCATAAGTCTGCTTGTCATGTATAATTTGCAGTAATTTGGATGGTAGATTTTGCTTTTGCAATTCTTTTGACCGTGATCACATGTTGGACTTTCTATATACCAATATTTTTCTTCTGTTCTATTTCATTTTTTTCTGTCTAGCTGATGTTTTGAGACCATGTTTAATGATGTTTTAAAATGTTTGGACTTTCTGGAAGCAATGTAATGAAAGTGATTTTAGAGGTTCCTTTTCTAGATATCACACCTTCTGGAAGCAATGTACCCCTTTAATATGTTTAATTTGGCGTTATAATTTTGATTATGTTGTTTACTTCTTTGAACAAGAAAGCCATGATCTTGAAAGTTGAAACTCCATTTCCCTAAGGTTTTGTTTGCAATTGCTTTTGAAGATTTTGAGAGTTTTATTATCTCCCAACTTGAGTTGTTAGGGGTGTCTCCAGGCAGTCCCTTACTTTCTTCCTCATTATATTTGTTTTCATTTTGGACATTACCCTTAGAGATATGCTCCCTTAATAATTGCAAGTTGGGTGCATTAATTGAAGCTATTGAGATTTAACAGTACAGTGAAATTAAAGTATTGAAGACATCAATCAAGTAATTAGAGTTCTTTTGAAGATGATGTTAATGGTAGTGAAGATTGGAAGAAACTTGGGTTTGAATACATTGTGAAGATGTTCCAAGTCTTGGAGAATTTCAAGTCATCTTTAAACTGACACTTGCAAAGGTTAGCAGGCAAGTGCTTGCTTTTTCATGCTTATCGTGACCTTCCATTACTGGGGATTATTTTGGTAAATTTCAATAGCAGAGGTTTATGGCCTGCACAGTTACGTGGTCTAATTTTTATGTTTTGTTATGGCTTTTATTATGATAGTTTCTTTCTTTGTATCCATTTCTTGCAGGGAGCCCCGTGGATTTGGTTTTATTCAGTATGTAGATCCTGCGGATGCTTCCGAGGCAAAACATCACATGGATGGTTATGTGCTTCTTGGCCGGGAGTTGACTGTTGTATTTGCAGAAGAGAATAGAAAGAAGCCTGCTGATATGAGGGCCAGGGAGAGAGGAAGGTAGACTTGATATTTTATGGATCTGGCTTGTTTGCGTGGCAATTATTTTCACTAGTATCTATTATACGCCCGTCTGTTTATAGAATTCTTGCTCTTAGATGATTTTGTGTTCCACCTATTGAAGACCTGGTAGCCTGTATGTTACTTCTGACAAAAAAGTCATAAACACTGTTTGAATTTTTAGGAGAATGTTGTAAGCATGTTCAATTAATTGATTAAGAACTCGTATATTAGTTTGGTCAAGTAAATCATCAACAATGCTGTTTGAATTTTTGGTTGAATCTTGTGAGCATGTTCAATTATTCGGCCAATAAGTCATGGACAATTGTCTTTGAGTTTTCAGAAAAATGTTGTAAGCATGTTCAATTAATTGATTAAGAGTGTCAGGATTTTTTCAACTATGACCTTCTTTTGTGCGATTAAACTATTTTTAAAGGAGATATCTCGAGGTCAACTTTTAATATATATTCAAGTTTTTAATATATATTTATATTTCAAAAGAAAATAACTTCTAATATATATTTACTTTTTCAGGGGTCGATTCCGTGATCGCAGAAGATCTCCACCTCGTCGTGGAAGATCACGGTCCCGAAGCCATGATTATTACTCTTCTCCCCCAAAACGCAGGTACCACTTCTCATAACTGATTGAGTACTTGTTAGGGTCCTGCATGGTTCTAAATTATTGTCTAAAATGAAGTTCCTCTTCTCATAATTTAAGTTAAAGATAGATTCTTGGATTAACACAAAAATAAAATGATTGGGTTCTCTGGTTTAAGAACAACCTGCAGATAGGGTAATTTATATCTAGCCAAGGTGGAACATGGAATGGCATTTGCATCATTAGTCATTCAGTTCTAACATTTACCTAAGGCTATTTCTGTGTTCTACAGAGGTTGTATCTAGCCAAGGTGGAACATGGAATGACATTTGCATCATTAGTCATTCAGTTCTAACATTTACCTAAGGCTATTTCTGTGTCCTACAAAGGTTGTAAGTGCCTTTAGTATGTTTTATTTCATGCTAAATGTTGATATCTAAGGTTTCATTTCCAAAGGGCTTGAATTTTTTCAGTTTACCATTTATAGTAATAGACTGGCATATGATTCATTTTCTTTAACAATTGTCACAGATCCATCTCACCTAGAGATGAGAGGTACAGCCGAGAGAGATCTTATTCACGTTCTCCAGCCTATAATGGACCAAGGGTTCACGGTCAAAGCCCTGGTAGAGGCCCAAGTTTGAGCAGAAGCAGGAGCCGGAGCCCGCGAAACAGAAGCCAGAGCCCGCAAAACAGAAGCCAGAGTCCAAGAAGAAGTATTGGTGGGAGTCCAAGGAGAAGCAGAAGCAGGAGCCAGAGCCCAAATCATGAAGAATATAGGCGAGAGAGGAATGGAGATCTATCTCCAAGCCAGTGATTTGCGTGTCTGTTGCTTGGAAGTGTCGTTGGAGTTTGATAACCCGGTGCCTTATCATTTGATGGCATGTGTCTACCTGTTCTGGTGTTATTTGAGCTTTGGCCTTGTAGGATATTTATTGTACCCTTGTCGTTTTAGCTGATGCGTATTACCTTTTTATATTTCATCAGAGAATCCGAATTCCATTGTGTAAGTGACTTTCGGTGAAAGCTTGTGTATGTGCTTGGAACCATCTGTACCCGTAGACTTTTTTAGTTAGCGGATGACAAATCCGGAAAGTATAGGTCGGAAAGATTCTTGATTTTGGCAACTTTTCTAATTTGTTTCTTGTGAGTTTGGCAGCTTAAATGAAACAGCTCTAGGTTCATGTTTCCATTACCAAGCTTTTGAAATCTGTGATCAACTCAAATTTGAATGCTCCGAGTTTAATTTCACATTATGTTTCGCAGCATTTATGTTTCGGTATCAAATTTTTGAAATGCTTCGAAAGAACAGTATCGAATTTGGCCGAACTTAAAATTTTTGTTAAGAAAACTCTCGAGGTTGGTTTAAAATTCAATCAAATTGAAAATGGATCGATTGAATGTAGTATTTGTATTATTTAATTAAAATAATATAATTTATAAATAATTTAGAAGTTCATAAATTATGAACCGCAAAAAACCCAGTAGCCGAGCGTTCAGATCACTCGGATTTTTTGTTACCCAAAAAAAAAAAAAAGATAAATTTGCTGTTCGCAGCGGTTGCTTTCATCATCTTCCCTACCGATCGGGAAACATCAGAACGGTCGGATTTCTCCTCGCCTCACCATTGTTGTCGAGGGAATTCCATGCTGCTACCAATTATCATCTGCCATCGAAGCGTGAAACGGTGCGGTATTGATCATAGCGGAGAGCAAGCCAACGGAGTGAAACCATGAACAACAACAATTACAGCTCAGGAATGATGATAGCAGGAGGAGGAAGACTATCTTCTTCATCTACGGCGACGGGAACTGGGAAAGGAGCTTCCTCGTCTTGGGTTTCGACGACGTCTGTCTCAGCGTCGGGGAAAAGGATACAGAGGGAGATGACGGAGCTCAACATGGACCCACCTCGCGATTGCGCCGCTGGACCCAAGGGTGACAATCTCTATAACTGGGTTTCCACCGTTATTGGCCCCTCAGGTCCTATTTCCTTTACGAATCGCGTGGTTACTGCCCCGTTTTTTGAAACTTTTTCTCGTTTTCTTGAACTGGGTTGTTGTTTTCAGTTTCATTTTTTCATGATTGAATGCTATAACCTTTCTGGGTTTGCTTTATTCGAGTAATTATTAACGTGATCTAAGTTTGTTACTCTATTGGAGTCCAAATTTCTGTGTTTTCTTCTGATATGGCGTGTCTTAATTGTTCTTGAACCAGTATTAACTAGGTTAATTTTTCACGTCTGCTATAAAATACCGAAGGGTGTTTGAAAGGGAAGTAGCTATCGTGATGGTTTGCTGCAATCTTTTCTTGTGCAAGCTTGTTTTACTTCACTGGCATCATTCGTTCACCTTCTTCATTGGTTTCTTAGATGTGTTGCTTCTATATGTTATCTTCTAGTTTCTAGGTTTCCGCTCATTTATTTTACCATGTTTTGTTGGGAGGATGATGATAAGATTTGAGGCTTCATAACTTATAGATCATAGTCTTTAGCAATTTCTTTTCAGATTGACACATCTCATCATTTTGGTGCCCCACTTTGAAGTCTGGGTTTGATAGCGAAGCAGTGACTGTCTTATTTTACTAAGTTTGGTTTTATTGGAAGGAAGATGGATTCATTAAGCTGCTTGTAGTATCTGTGGAGGTTAAGGCAATGGCAGGATTTATCTTTTACAATTCCTTTATATATTGACACTAGGAAACACGTACCAGTTTGATGCCTTTTGAAGTCTTGGTTTAATTATATTTGCCCGTGTTATTTCTAGAAAGCTAACTGGGTCTAGTAAAGCTGCGCCTTTGACGTTGATGTCACTGGTTTTTAGTCTCTTATAGATCTTTTTTCTTCATATTTTTGCTCTATAATGTTCTACGTATTGATGCATTTTATTGATGAATTGTTTTCACATGGAAGGATTGCTTGTTCTTAAAGATTGTCTTAGTTTGCTAAATTTGTTACGTAGACCTTCCACAAATGATTTTGGGGAGGTAGATTAATCTTCTTAGAGACACTGAAAATTTCTGGTTATATTCAGGAACTCCGTATGAAGGTGGCATATTTTTCCTCGACATAACTTTCCCAACTGATTATCCCTTCAAACCTCCGAAGGTATGTTCTGCTTGATTTGAAGATTTAACTCCTTGTTTTTAAATTAAAAACGAAATTACTTCCTAGCTTCCTCAAATCTTTTGATTGCTGTATTTTTTATTACCTTTTCTTTTTTCTCATTTTCATTTTTAAGGCTGAGGTGGGTTGGAGGGACATGTTTGACTCTATTCAATAGATTGATATTGCCTAACATATTAGTTCCTCTTCCTTGTTTTTGTAGATGAGCTTAAATAGTAAAATAATCCTTGTACTATTCAAACTTTTCTATTTAAGTCCTTATAATTTTTCTCTATTCTATACCGGCCTTATATTTTCAAATTGTTTCCAAATAAATAATACTGTTAAAAGCACCGTTAAGTAAATGCCACGTATCTGATCACGTGGCATTGATTGTCTTAAGTTGATGATGTGGAAATTTTTTCCATATCGCAAGGACATATTGAGGAGAGAGCGAATTTTTTCCACCCCGTCAGCGCAATTCGTGTCTCCGCCATAGCAAAACCTCCCTTCCGCTGTCTGTAGTAGAGATAAAAGAGAACAAAGCAGAAGAAGATGGCAGAGCAAGTGAGAGGAGTGGAGAATTACAGCGGAAGACCGCCTATCGCCTCTTTTAAGCCATCGAACAAAACCCAAAAAAAAAAAAAGGAAAAAATCCCTGCAATTACATTAAGAAGAAAGCACATAGTTTTACTGAGATTCTGCATGCCGCGAGCTTCTCTATGCAGCTCGTCTCTCTCTCTCTCTCTCTCTCTCTCACATCAAGCTTCTCTAGCATTGAGATCTGTGTTCTACTCCTCAAGCTAATTCATACATAGATATGTATATAGATATATAGAGAAGTAGAAACGAGATGAATGAAGGTGCAGGGATTGTCCAGATGAGACAAAGGCCATCTTTTCCTCGAATTTTCTTTTGACGAGTTGGATTTTGTTTTTGGATTTAGTTTTCGTTATTCATGAGCACGTTTGTTTCCCATAGGAGTACCTTAATTAGGATTTGAGAGGAGTTGCGTGATTCTCCTCCTGTATTCTCATCATCTCCACTTTATTTTTCTTATTCTCCTCTGGAAGACTATGAACTATATGTATATTTGGGTTTATTTATTCCGTGTCAAAATCTTTTAGAAATTCGATTGCAATATGTCAGGTTTCGTCCGCTGTTCATTCCTTTGTTTTTTTAATTCCAAGTACAGGTGTGCAGGTGGTATTCAAAACTGGAATTTACCACTGCAATGTTGATTCTTCTGGCAATTTAAATTTGGAGATTTTAAACAATAATTGGAGTCCAGCTCTGACAATCACAAAGGTACTACGTGCAATCAGATCAATCTTCACAAACCCTGATCCTTGTAAGTTCCTTAACTCAATCTCTCTCTATCTCTCTCTCTCCGTGGATCAATGGGTCGTGGAGCTTTCAATTGTTTTTACTAACCAATCATTACTGGTTTAATGATTTTAATCGAAGAAAAGACCAGATGTTCCCAAATCCCATCTGCACGGAACGAAGATCTCTTTGTAGTCAAAAGTTCAGGCCCATGCACGATCATCCGAGTTAAAATCCTTTATGTTATGCCATTTACTCTTCATGCCAAAGAGTTATAGAAAATGCTTCTTTGTCCTAAAAATCTCTATTTCGTCTTTTGAACTTCTAAGCATTCGATATGCAACTATGCGGTTGCGGGGAAGATATTATGAGATGCATCATTTTTGTCACTTGAAAGGACACTGAAACTCTCCTTTCTTGCAGATAATCCACTCGTACCTGGCATTGCTCACTTATACTTGACAGATAGAGCCAAACACGATGAAATGGCTACGGAGTGGACGTTGAGATTTGCGAGGTAATATAAATAAACGGTCCGGAAAACAGAATTTCCGATACGAGATGTCTTTTCCAGCATCAGAATATATCTTGTAAGAAAATTCCAAAAAAGCTGCCTAGATTTTCTGGTTCATCCTCTGGAACTTGGAAACATTCAGGCATGTTTGATAACCAGTTCAAGAACACAAACTTGCTGTAGGCAACTTTCTGTAATCCCTTCCTGCAAATATTTTGAGGTTTATGCTGTTTAGGGTTTTGATTCAAACTCCATTTTTCCATCTCAGTCTGGTGAAGTCACTGCCGAGTCGATCTTACCATGCATTATATAGCAAGTTAAGGGTCAGTTGGTATTATGAAAATTGCTAGATACAAACTCTCATTTTATATATCTATCTATATATATATATATATATATAAATTGTGTTATCATATGTGATTATCTGGTACTGATGAGGTATTAACACATAATCTGTATAAACTTGTAAGTACATGTCTTAATTATATCAGCCAGTAAGTTATCATCTTCAGCACAAATTCCTTTTCAAACAAGCATGTATATATATATATATATGTATGTATATATATATATCATATGCTTATATATGATCAGAAAAATATGATTTTTTCTAGTCTTAGAATGGTATAAACCATCATTCTTGTATTGCAATAATTTGCTATCATAATTATCCCATAATTTTCAAATATTATGTCTTCATACATACATATACATATATATATATATGTATATATATATATATATATATATTGCAACGTACACATTTATTATTTTGAGAGAACATTAATTAAATATAAAATTAAGTTAAGGACCAACGGATATTAATAAAAATAAATAAGAAAAATCAATCAATTTAAAAAATAATTTGGATTTTTCTACTTTTTATTTTCACTTGTAGTGATGGAAATTGAATATTTAGTATATATATTTTTATATAAAATTTTATTATTATACTTTAAATAGTATAATTTTAAATATCAAATTATATATATATATTTTAAAACTATTTATTAATTGATGCATTAATGGGATTTGTAATTTTTTTA